ATTTATGAATGTCATGCGTGGTTCGTGCGGTTTGGCAATCGACGTTTGCTGTGTTGTATCCTCTGGTGATAGATAGATTGCTTCCTGTCTGACGCCCTATTAAGCGTTAGTCTGCAACTAACATTAACTAACATTGCAACTCGTGGTCCTCCGTTGAGAACTTTTCCTGACTTCACTGCCAGCGTTGGTAATCACAATCAAGCTATCTGACCATCGACCTACCAGTGCATTGCCAGCCGTCATTTTGGAAAGCTGCGACTCAAATTAGCTCTAGTTTCCGGGGATTCTCGTGTAACACAAGATGGTGCAGCTCACAAGCAAAGTGCTAGTCGTTCTAAATGTAGTTGGCCAAGACTGGTCGCCATCATTGATACAAGCCATGCTAGCTTGCCCGATCTGGAGGCAGATTTATTCGCAATGAACCCCACTTTTAGATCATTGCCATGCTGCTACTGTCGGTCATCAAGGTCCTTGTCTTGTGTGGAACGGCGGCAATCGCCAGCTCCAAAGGAGGATCGTCTGCCATCGGCAGCTACGCACCTTCGCTCTTACCGCCGCAGACACCACCACCAACGGCGCAAGTCAACAGCACAAGTCCTTCCCCCAAAAAGAAATGCTCGCCGAAGCCATCCGTGATCACGAACAGAACGACACCCGTGCCGCCGAAACATCGCTGTGTGCCCAAGACACCCACACCCGTGCCGACCAATACGTCGACACACAAAAAGTGCTCTCCAAAGACCCCTGCACCAGCAACTGTGCCGCCGACGCCGACGCCAACGCGAAAGATCTGCTCGACAAAAACGAAGACGCCAACGCCGTGCACCGAGATGCCACGTCCGCCATCGCACGTAGGCGCGACCCCAACAACGACCACAGCGACGACTTCGGTGTCCGAGACAACGCAACCGACGACGCCGGACGCGACGATCCCATCCACGAAGCGACCGAAGTGCACTAAGAAGACACCGGCGCCAGAGCCGACGCACACGGAGGAAGTGCCCCGCCATGGTACATGCGTCGGATTTTGGGCGCACTGCGACCACGGTGAGCGTTGCACACAAGGAGCGACCTGCTTGGATACTGTTTGCCGCCCTGACAAGGTGGGCTACGAGCAGTGTGGTGGTGACGGCTGGCTTGACGACAGTGTCTGCGGCTCAACGATGGGATGGGCGTGCAAGCGCCAGAACGCGTACTTTGCCCAGTGTGTCCCCACTACGGTCGCTTGCGTCCCATTGTAGAAACGGCACGCGTCGGTACTAGGACCATGTTGTGTAAGCTACGAAGAGTGTGAACTGCATTTGCTCGCCATCGTCATCCATTGTTCTCGACAAGTCGAGGTTACACAAGACGCTCAAACTGCTGTCCCTGGACAGTCTGGCCGCGGAGCGAGCGTGTCACGAGGTCTTGGAATCGGCGCGGATCGTTGCGGAAAATCTCGGCGGCTTCCTTGTTCAGCGGGTCGTCCGGGTTGGGCTCGTAAAAAAGGTAGATGAGGCCATAAATAACGGCGTTGATGTCGAGCACAGGCTTCCAGTCGTCGCGGAGGATGTTCAAGCACACGTGGCCTTCAAGATCGATGTTCGGGTGGTAGATCTACGAAGATGTGAGCGCACGCGATCTCACGAATGTCCGTACCTTGGTCTCGCAGCGCACTTTCGGCGGTTCGTGCGGGTACAGCTAAAACGACATGAGATTCTTCTCCGCAGATCTGAGAGAACTTACCGCAGGAATCTTGAACGTGAAGTGATACGTGGCGCCGGTCCAGAGGCCCGTGTCGACTGCCACCTTGACGTCGAAGGTCGTGAGGTCGTTCGGGTCCGGGAAGCTCACGACAGCTGCAGACCCGCCATCGAGCTCGGCAATGTCTGTGCGCATGTAAGATTCCCGAGGTCGCAGGATGCAATGCGTGAAGTACCTTTCTGGATGCGAATCTCGCCAGGCGTCCGTTTCTTCTCCTTGGGCTTGGCCGTGCGCTTCCCGCGGCCGATACCGAAGATGGACACCTTGGCCTTGGCCTCCGACTCATCGGGCTCGGGGGCGCCAGAGGCCACGTGCTCAGCTGCGGCGGCAGCAGCCGCTTCCTCTTCCTTTTTCTTCTCCTGCTGGCGGGCCTTCAACTTGATCATGGTCGTCCGTCCGTCGCCCGATTCGAGAAATGAAAATATTTTATAATTGGTCCTGGAAACGTCAGTCGTTCGGCGAGACAGGCGTCCAGAATTATATCACCTCGTATTTGTATGGAATTGGGCATCGCGATCTTTATATTGCGCAGCCGAAATCTAAGCCGCGCCAAAGGAACACGCCAGCAAGCGAAGCCGCGCCACGCGAGCCGCAAGTAATCAGGATGCTTCGCCAGGTGTGGAATAGCTCGTGGAGCTGGCCGTACGCTGCTTCGAGGAAGGTGAATAATCAAAGCAAGGGAATACTGCATTACTATACATGTAGTCTCTTGCATCGCAGCTTCCTGGAATGGAAGGGAATCATGATGCACTGCATTGAAGGCAACAGGGGATTCCCATGGGGGATTCCGAAGAATATACAATATATTTAAATTGAGGCGCGCATGAGCTTGAATATCCAATATCCTGCGCCCGGTGGGTACTAGTGTGCCGGATGAATGTATTGGGTGCGATCATAGAGAGCACGAGCAAGAGGTACCCAACCGCACCAGGGCCGACAACAAAGGCGCTACAGGCAGCGCGAAGACAAGGTACGTGGGGTCGTTTTTACACCTCACGACCTCTGGCTTTTGATGTCTCACAGCCCAAAGTATAGAATGTGAGAGGTTTCGCATCAAGTGCCGGAGGAGGAGGGAGATCTTGCGGACTTTATATTTCGAAGACAACCAAGCAGCCTCATGAGCACATTGACGAGCGCCGATATGGGCGAGCTCAAGCGCCCGTCCACGCGACTTCACGCGCCTCCTGGTGGCAACTCCAGCTGGAGCTTCAACGACAATACGCCTCCGTCGCCACCGAAGGCGAAGTTTAACCCCCGCGCCAGCGCCTCCAACACCACGAGCGAGAGCTCGCCCTTTGGTGCCCCGCCGGCCCCCGTGCCCGTCGTTGCGGCATCCGCGCCTCCCTCGGAAGTTGCATCGACTACATCGCGTATTGCTGTCTCCGTCCGCGTCGCGGTCGTCAAGACCAAGGCTGATGACGCTCTTGTCGACGAGTTCGTCGCCAACTTTCTCAAGGAGCTTACGCCTGACGTCTTCCACGAAGTCGTCGCCGTGCCGTCGCTCGAAGATCTCCCGTATGCTGCCAACAAGCTTGCTCTCAACGGCGGTTTTGACGCCGTCGTGTGCTTTGGCTTCCTCAACGCGGCCGATGCGCTGTTTCAGTCGACGGCCACGACCGTGACGCAAGCTCTCATCCAGATCAGCATCGCCACCGTCAAGCCGATCGTTCGCGCGCTTTTCATTGGTGAGCCGCGCGTTGCGTCTGTCAAGGCCAAGAGCGGCTGGGGTGTTGACTTCGCCCACAGCATCGAAGGTCTCGTGCATCTTGGTGGCTTCGTGTCGCACCCCTTCCGTGGCAATGAAATCCCAAACGGCAACCACCACGCTGCGCCTAAGGTGGTTAAGAAGACGGATAAGGTTGTCAGCACGGGCAACGCTGTCTCGAAGGCCGTGAAGAACGCGCCTCGCGCCGTCACCGATACCCTTGCCGCACTTCGCCAGACTCTCTATGAACACGGCGCTCGGTTCGTTCCTTCTATAGTATGTTCGTCACTCATGGAGTGTTTATGTGTAGCGGTATTGTCGGCTTGGGCCGCAAGTTCCGCATCATTGACGACGATGGCAGCAAGACGCTCGACATTAACGAGTTCAAGAAGGCTATTGCCGAACACGCCATGAACCTCACCGATAAGGTGCCAAGCACAGTCCTTTGCTGGGCTATGGCTTAGTCGCGCATGTTGTGTGTCGTAGGAAATCACCGATTTGTTCGAGTTTTTCGACGACGACAAGTCGGGCAACCTCAGCTATGACGAGTTCCTCGTCGGCCTTCGTGTACGATTGCAACGTTTCCTGTCGCTCGGAGAGCTCAACGTGTTTCTAGGGCGAGTTGAACGAGCGCCGGAAGCAAATGGTGCTTCTCGCCTTCACGGTCATCGATGCTAACGGCAACGGGGTGCATTGTTGCAGCATGCAAAATGTCGATCTCAATTGTATCCCTGTAGATTGTCGAGCTCGACGATATTGTCGCCAAGTACAATGCCGATCAGCACCCGGACGTCATCTCTGGGCGCAAGACGAAGAACGAGATCTTCCGCGACTTTCTCGACACGTTTGACGGTGGCGAGAAGGACGGGAAAGTGACGCCCGACGAGTTCATTCGGTACTACGCCAACGTTAGCGCGTCCATTGATGACGACGACTACTTTGAGCTCATGATCCGCAATGCGTGGCACATTTCTGGCGGCGAGGGCTGGTGCGCCAACTCGACGTGCCGCCGCGTCCTCGTGACGCACCCGGACGGGACGCAGACAGTCGAGGAGGTCAAGAACGACATTGGCATCTCGGCGACCGACAAGGCTGCGATCAACGCCAACCTGGCTGCGCAAGGCATCAACGCCAGCGGCTTCGAGACCTCTGGCTATGTCGAGAACACGTCCAAGCCCAAGGGCGACTTCCAACCCAAGTTTGCTGGCAAGAAGCAGCAGCACGGCGCTGGCGAGTCCTCCATTGTGTTCGGCTAAGGCACTCCTTGTGCAGTACTAGTACTAAGGGCACCACTCCCACCCTTATAGTACAGTATTATGAAACGTTGAATCAAACACCTTGTTGCGGTCAGTTGTGTCAGCGTCTCGGTGCTTAACCGGTAAAAAAGCCGGATAAGGCTCCGTCCAATCGGGACGTGGCAAGATCCCCATGGCAGTTGACGACAGCATGACGTCGGGCAGATTACGCAGGTCCGTGGCGTCGTCGGACGAGTGGGAAGAGCTTCAGACGCCGGACGTACAGCTTCTTCTCGACTTCTGCTATTGCAGCAGCAGCAGCGAGCTCATCGAGGCCATGCCTCATTGGGTCGCGACGCACCTCGCCGAGCCACGCGCGTGGTTGCCGTTGCTGCGATGCAGCCATGTTGCCCGCAATGCGTCCTTGACACGATCAATCTCAACGCACTGGCTGTCCACGACGGACGGTGATGCCGTGATGCGACACCTGAGCACGGTGTTTCGCGACGCGATCAACGCCGACGCGCTTCGCGTCGTCTTCACTTTGGCCCACTCGACGAGAGCTGCAGCGCCATGGATGTGGCTTGCGTCTCTCATGGACCTGCCGACTCAGCCAGGTCAATTCACTTCCCGATAGGCCTCGCCGTCAGTTTGTTTCTTGTGTAGTTCGGGCGTGGAGCTTTTTTGGTCGGCACTCCGGACTGTGCTTTCCTATGACGTGCCATCATGGCGACTGCTTTGAGTTGGACGTAAGCGTGTGCGTCGATCCAATCGAAGGCGCCAAGATGACGTTATGGAGCTGGCGCAACGACGCGTCAGGTTGCGGCTTGGACCTTGCCATTTCGGGCCAATCACTGGTACACAAGATCTCTGTCCTACCAATCGCGTGATTTGGGATTAGATCTGCTCGACGTGGAGCGTCGCAACATGTTCGTCGCGACAGATCGACGTTGAGATCAGTGATCGATGGAACCTCATTGCCTTGGAGCTTTCTGACGGCTTCCTCACGTGTCGTGTCAATGGCAATGTCGTCGACGTCGCAGAGGCCCTACCCTGGCCCGCTGCATCGAAGCACTCGTTGAGCGTTGCGGCCTCTTTGAACCCAGCGGTGTCGGCGGTGCCATTGCAAGGCCGGGTCGCCACCATGCGATTGATTTCGCCGACACGGTCATACGTCGTGCTTGACGCAGCCTACGAGGCCTACGACTCGACGAGCGTCACGAATTGGGCCGAGAACGGGCAGAACACACGTTTTGCACGAAGAACTTCCGTTGACGCCCCCGGCGTTGCCCTTTGGACATTTACGTAGGCCGCTCGTTTCAAATCTCGGACACGTCACTGATTTGTAGGCACGTGCTTGACGTCTTGCGCTCGAGCGGTGGTGTTCTTTGGTCGCTAACGCCCTTCTTCGAGCGTACAATCGCCGCGCCCGAACAACCAACAGCTCGAGAGTCCGACAAGGAATGGGACCGTACGCCGATGCTCCTCTTTATCTGTCGTGCAATCTGCAATGACGCAGCGACGGCCGACGAGGCGCTCGTTCCGTTCCAGCACAACCCGAGCCTCGGTACTTTTGGCCATCTATGGGCGCGCCACTGGCTCCACTCGCAGCACTTGTCCGCTACGCTCATTCGCGCCGTGTTTGAGGCCACGACCACCCTTGTCGTCCGAGCAGCGACGTTGCCAGCGCAATCGGACCTCACGCCGTGGCTCCAAGTCGTGCTGTCGAGCCGCCAGTGGTATGAAATACGATGATGATCCTTGGAGCTCTTGCCTCACAACGCCTCAGGTGCCGATGCTCCATCGACTTGCAAACGCTTTACCTCGCTCACCTCGACGCGTGCGTGGGCTTGATGGCGATCGAGAACATTCCACAGATGCGCTTTTGGTACGACACCTTGACGCGCTTCTCGGCCAGCGCGTCGTTGCGAGAGCAAGTACTGCGCATCGTGGATCGCGTCCTGTTCCGGTCACCGACTCACGCAGAGTCTGCGCTGGACGCGCTTCACGTGCACTTAGTTCAAGATAAGCAGCACGGCAACGTCGACGTGCTTACATGGTGGGCCCAGCGCGTGCTGGCCTCGGAAAGCGCCTCTTGCGACATCGACCATAAATGTGACTTGTGGATTGAGCACGTTGGCGCCGCGCACTTGAAGTCGACCCGCGTCGCTGCATTGCGTGTGCTCGCGGCGTACGAAACACTTGTGTCTGTCGCCTCTTATAGTGTTTTACGTAGATACGCCCGAGACCACCATTTGCGCAGAGCCTCGGTCTCCGCGCTCGCCGATCGCTGCGTCGTGTTGGACGATTCGATGCCAGTCGTGGCGGAGCTCGCGTCACTGCGAGACCCTGCGCTTCTGTTGGAGTGCGCAATTCGATCGACATCGCTGCGCTGCAAGCGACAGTGCATCGGCCTCCTCGTCGCCAACCCCGACGCTCTCATCGCTCGACTCTCGCGATGGCATTCGTCACCCATCACAATGGTCCAGCATGTCGCGCGCGTCGGCTTGTCTGTGCGGGACCGCGATGCAGAGTGGCTTGCGGTCCTCGATGGCACGGCGCGGCTGCTCGGCCACTGCATTGGGCACGCGCTCAGTGCCCAGGTTGACGCAACTTCATTTCTCGATCAGGCATTGACTGCGTGCGCTCGAATTGGCATTGTTCGATCCGTGGTCGCGCTAGTCCGCGATATGTGCCCGCCCAAGCACGCTGCGGCGTTTCTAGCCGCGGCCTCAACGCTCGACAATACACCCGCATGGGTCTTGTCGCTGCTGCCGCTTTGGCGAGCGCTCATGGCTCTGCCCGTCACGGACTGGAGCTTTCTCCGACGTATTACCGGCTGGGTACTCGCGCTTGAGGAGATGGCATACACTGCGGATGACTTTGTATATTGTGGGGCGTGCCGGTACCTCGGACTAGACCACGAGTGTCCGAAATGTGGTGTCCCCGGCGGTGATCCGTACCGTCGAGACTTGCTACTGGTCCAAGGCTCGTGGCTCGAGATGGACGTACCCGAAGCAATAGCTCTCAAGTGTCTGCTGCTCGCGACGCTTGCGCAGCACCCGCAGGCGGCTGAGAAGGTCCAGTGCCTCATCTATATGCTGCCGCCACACCTCGCTCGACAGATCCCCGACGTCGGCGACCTCTCGCCCTCGGTGCGACCGCCATTGTACTTCCTTTTTACTTACATGTGACGCTTTCAATAGGTTCGGCAGCAAATCGATGCGATCGTGCGTGGGCCGGCTTTTGAAGCAGCAATCGCGCCGCTTTGTTCGGTCACATCGAAATCGGCAAATGTCGTCGAAGACGGAAATGAAGATGAGGCCCCCTGGACACCACCTACACTGCCAAATGACCCGGTGCCCTATAATGACGCTGGCCGGGCCGTCGGTGACACAGCGTGCATTCGGCGGGTGCTGAAGCGGGTGAGCATGTCGCATTCCTTGTGGCAGACGGACGCCTTGGTGCCGTGCTACCGCGTTGACAAAGCTGAGTTTGGACTTGCACGATTGCGTCCCCGTCTCGCCCCATGTCGCGAGCACGTTGACGAGTCGCCAACGGCTCAACCTCGTCATTTTGAGAGCTTATCAGAGGCCCTCGGATCGTCAACGGAGCTCTGGCAGCACTCGGCCCGGCTCCGAGCGCGTGCGACAGCGAAAGTCACAAGTACGCACGACGATGGACACCACTCGCAATCGCAAATAACTTGCTGTAGGGGACCCCACTCCGTCCGGCAACTCGGTCTTTGTTGCGAATGCGCTCGTACTTCGCGCCAGAGGCAATATTTCGGGCAGGTTTGAGATCTCGTCGTCGCATTTCGTCTTTGCGCCCCATGAGTCGAGCTCACGAAAGTTGGCCGGCATTGACGAGATCAAGTACGCGCTGGGACGCCGCTACCTCCTTCAAGCTGGCGTCGCCATCGAGATCTTTTGGTGGTCGCCGAGAGCGCCGTGGCTGGTAGTCTTCGAGTCGGAACGTCTCTGTACGCTGTGCTACGAAGCGTCGCGTCCGCTAGCCTTGGCAAGTCTCGTGCAACGCGCAGTACATTTGGTACCGGCCGACTTGACTCGCGTACTTACCTTGTATTCTCCGTCATGAATACTCTGATGCGCTGAGTAGCTGTCGACGCTGCTCAGAAAGCCAACCTTGCCATCCCCGAGAGCCTATCTGGAGGCAATGGAGGCCACGAGTCGATGGCAGTCCCAGTGCATCTCGAACCTGGAGTACCTCATGCTCGTCAACACGGCGGCCGGACGCACGTACAATGACTTGAACCAGTACTTTGTCGCGCCGTGGGTTTCTGAGCCAACGGTGGCTGGTGCGCCACGGCCGCTGCACGTGCCGATCGGCGCGCTTAATCCGAGTCGACTCGCGCAATGCCAGGCACGAGCGTCTGCCCTGGCGTCCGAGCTGGACGATGCGCCGCCGCCGTTTCTCTTTGGGTCCCACTACTCGACGACGGGCTCGGTCCTCTACTTCCTTGTACGGTTGCGTCCGTTCACCCAGTACGCCAAGGACCTTCAAGGTGTGTACATTGAGCAATTCTATTGTTTGTGCCAGCACTAGCCGTAGGAGGGAAACTGGACCACGCAGACCGGCTTTTTCACTCGGTCACGGAAGCGTGGACCAACTGTCTCACGTCGTCCGACGTCAAGGAGCTAGTGCCAGAGCTATTCTATCATCCTGGCGTCTACACGTCGCCGTCACCCCTCGGTATGCGCCAGAACGGCACTGTCGTCGGTGACGTTGTCCTGCCGAACGACTCGACGCCAATGGCGTTTCTTGCCAAGCTACGACACGATCTTGAAGCTGCCGACATTGCACCGTAAGTCTGCTACATTTGTGTCCACGTCAGGTTGAAGCCGGCAAACAATAGGTGGATCGACCTCATCTTTGGCTATCAGAACTCGGGCGCGGCTGCGTGGGCTGCGAACAACGTCTTCTTCCATCTTACCTACGCCGAGCACGCGCCGCCCGTGCCGCTGGACTTTGGTCCGTTCGCGGCGCAAGACCAGGATCCCGCGACGACGCAGATGCAGTACTTTGGCCAGACGCCACCCCAAGTATTTTCGTCCCCGCACCCGACGCGCGGCTTTGTCTGCCAAATTGCGGCTTCGTCCGCAATGGCGCTCACGCGCGTGATGACGCCGTCGCCCATTGCGTGGGTACTCAACGCGAAAGGGTGTGTCGTCTCGGACGACGGAACTGTATCGCAGCGCCTCGATGACACGGACGTCCTCGTCATGTCTAGTCATCTTTCGCTGCCGTGTGCACCGACTATCGTCTTGGACGTGGGTCCAGCCCACTGCCCAGGTCGCTATTTCGTGCTGCTTGACATCACGCACGGTCTCGCCGTTTACGGCGTTGACATCGACTCGGGACGCGTCGTGGTGGCACCATCAAACGCCGCGTTTCTTCGCACTGGCCAGCCCATGGCATGCGCCGCCACGTCCAGCGGTGCTTGCATCTGGATTGATTGCCACGGTTGCTCTTGTGCCCACAATATGAACTCAACGTGGTGTGTTTAGGGGTCTTGCAGGTGTGGACCAAATCCGTGCTCCTTGAGTTGCTCTTTCCGACAGTCACCGTTTCGCCGTCTGAAGCGCCAACATCCTCGACGACCAAGTGGTCTGCACTCTGGTCGTCTCTCTGGACACCACACACGCACCTCCCACCCCGCGTACCTCCCATCGTTCGCCCATATCGCACGCTGGGCGTCGGCGACGTTTCTGCAACCAACGTGGCTGTCAATCTGGACGTCGACTTGGCTGTTGTGACCACGGTCTCGGGCCTCGTGCAACTCTTTGCGCTCCACGCGACTAAGTGGCTCCGAAGCTTCGACGTAGCCGCCAACGTCGGGCGGGCATTGCATTTGACAAGCGCGTCGATTCTCGCACCCGAGTCGTATATCGTGGTCGTGTCCGAGACGCGGGAAGGCGTTGACGTCATTGCTGTCGACGTCAACGGCGTGCTTCTGAGTGTATTCTCGCTACCATCGGCAACGGTTCGTTTCGTGCAAGCCGTGCACGTTCCCCGTAAGCACACGTGCCCGCCGCTTGTGCTGCTTTGCACCGAGTCGCAGTTCTATTTGTACTCGATTTTGGATTCTGGTGTCGTAGTTGCGCGTCAGCGTAGCCGCCTCATCATCCGGCGCGTCTTTGTCGAGGACGACACAGTCGTGCTTGGATTTGACTCTGGCGACGTTGACCTCCTCAGTCTTCGGGGCCTCCTGGCCCAAGCAAAGACGCCCCATGAATAAGCAACGCCATAACACATAAAACGTTTCACAGTTGTATTCTTCACGCAACGCGCTCGTGGGCGTGGTCGACGGGGCGCTTACGCTGCTGCAAGATCGTGTCGATGAGTCCGAACCGGATCGCAGCGTCGGGGTCCATAAACTAGTCGCGATCAAAGTACGTGACCGGGAAGAGGTGCTTACCTTGTCGCGGTCCATCGCCTGCTCGATGACGCCAACGTGTTGGTTCGAGTGGTGCGCGTACAGCGTGTTCAAGCTACGAAATAGTTGCATTCTGCACTGCAAATGGCCAGGGCGCACCGAGCTCGGGTTTTCAAAATTTCTTCGGCTTGGATGGCAATGTCGCTCGCCATGCCCTGAGCGCCACCTGATGGTTGGTGAATCATGATGCGCGAGTTGGGCAGCGCCGAGCGGCAGCCGGGTGCGCCACCAGCGAGCAGTAGGGCGCCCTACACGACAAAGCTACATTGGTGGACAAACGACGGTGAAAGAAGCAACACCATGGACGCAGCTTGTCCGATGCAGAGTGTGCGGACGCGAGGTTGAATGTACTGCATCGTGTCATAGATTGCGAGGCCCGCTGTGACGACGCCGCCAGGGCTGTTGATGTACATGCACACGTCCTTCTCCGGATGCTCCTACGCGCCCAATGTCGGAGCCGTAATCTTACTGCCTCTTGGCAGTTTACGCTTTCGAGGTAGAGCAGCTGGGCCGTGATCAAGCAGGCCGTGTGGTCGTTCACGGGACCGTGAAGAAAGATGATGCGCTCCTTGAGGAGACGCGAGTAGATATCGTAGACACGCTCGCCCCGGGGGCTTTGCTCGAGCACCATGGGCACGACGCTGCCCGTCGGGCTGCCGAAGGACATGAAAGTCTTGGCGCCGCGAAGCACGCGTTGGCTCGTCGATCGTAGGCCGTGCATCTGCAAGAACTCAAGTGTGCGATCCAAAACCGACACCGGCTTCTTCCGGATATGGTGCGCCTTTCTGGAGCACGCGGGTCGCTTCCGAGTCCCATGAGCCTCCGGTCGGCGCTGCGCATCTCCATAAGCCAGTAGTGTGGTCCACGCGCCAAAGTGCTTTGTAGTCGTCGTTACATCATCGTCATGATCATTGTGACGTGGGCTAAATTAATCGGTCGTCAGCGGCGTACTAGCAAGGCTCCCAAGTTGCGTGAGCGGCCAAATCTACGATCCTCGTCGTCAGCATCCAATGCCGCTCATCATAGATACGTACGCGCAAGGCGACGCGCCCTTGGATAAGCGCGTACGGAACAGGGCCGTAGTAGCGCGAGTCGTGCGAGTCCTTCTTGTTGTCGCCCTCGAGCCATACGTGGCCCTTGGGCACAGTCTTCATCTCAATGCGGCTCGAGTTGTAGCGATGCTTGAGGCCGACCGTTTCGCCCTCGGACGCCACAATGCGCTTGCAAACCGTCTGGCGGAAGTTGGATGGCGACTTGGCGATCACCACCTCACCGTTCCGCAGGCGCCGGAAGCGCGGGGTGATCTTGTCCAGGAGCACGATGTCACCATGCTCGTTGAGCGTCGGAAGCATACTCGGTCCAACGCAGAGTACCACGTCGCCAAGTTGCAGCGCACAGAAGACGAGGCCGCCGAAGCGCGCGAGGCCGCCCGCGACCTTGGCAAGCTCGCTCATCCAGAGACTTTTGTTGCCGTCCGGATACGGCGAGCGAAATCCGGCACAAAACCACGCCGACGGGTCGCGGGTGAAGATCGCGTTTTCACAACTTTTGGTATGGGCGACGTGAACGAGCTTATTAAGAAGACGCAGGAGACGCTCCAGCCGCTGATTCCCAAGCCGAAGCTTGCGGAGAAGCTCCTCCTCAAGCCGCCGTTCCGCTTCATCCATGACATCTTCACGGCGCTCATCGCGGCCACGGGGTTTGCCAAGGGCCTCTACACCGAGTTCGAGCTCGACTCGGCCAACATCAAGGAGAAACACCAAAAGCTGCAGTTCCTCGACAAGATGATTTATTGCGCTGGTCAATGCCATGGCCGCGACATTGACGTCCGGTCTGCCAAGATCGTCGCCGGTCTCGAGGCCGAAAATACCAACATCTTCCTCGCCGACCTCGCAGCCGCTGCGTCCAACCCCGGTCTCGACTGGGGTGGCGCTGTACAAAAGACGCTGGTGGCGTACCCTGCGCTACCTGAAACACTTGCTGGTAGCACGGGCGGTGCAGCACCCGTGGCAGAAGCCAAACCCGAGGCTAAACGCGAATCGACACCGCCGGCTAAAGAAGCGCCGAAAGACGATGCTGCGTCGAAGGAAGCGGATGAGAAGGCTAAGGCCGAAGAAAAAGCCAAGGCGGAGGAGAAAGCTCGGGTATGTCCTTGGTTGCGTACGCCAAATTCCATTTCCATGTCCATAGGAGCGTGCACGACGGGCCAAAGAAGAGAAAGCAAAGCAAGACCGCGAGAAAGAGGCCGAACCCAAGCCATCGTCAGCGAGCAGCTCTAGCCGCCCTTCTAGCAACAGCAAGGCGACTCGCGAGGACAACAATGGTGGTGGTGGTAGTAGCGAATACGCCGCGCAGGTAAGCGACATGCTGTTGGGTCGTTTTGGAAGATACATATGTCGTGCAGATTGGTGAATGCAACAGTGACGTCGAGCGCACAAAAGATGTGATTGAGAAGCTCATTACAAAGCCCAAAATGTCGGCCAAGCTCTTGGGCAAACCGCCGTTCCGATTCCTCCATGATATTGTCTCGGAAATCGCGCGCGCGACAGGGTTTGCGGATGGACTTTACGCGGGCGACGAGCTCGACTCGAACGCGATCAAAGAGAAGCAGCCCAAGATCGACTATCTCCAAAAGATTCTCAGCTGCGTTAGCGTACACCTCAACGTCGAGATCGAGGCCAAGCCTGCAAAGATCGTCGCGGGCCTCGAGCCCGAAGAAACCAACAAGTTTCTGCAGCTTTTGGCTGTCGCTGCCAAAGCGTACGTGTGTATCGTGGATGTGATGCGTCACTACTCGATGACTTGGTTCTAGCGGCAACGCAAGCGCCTCAGTGCAGCGCGTGCTGGCTGGCGACACGACATTGCAGCCTTCACGCTCGGCCGAGTCCAAGTCCAAACGACCATCAGTGGCAGCGCCACGCACCGACGACCAACCAGCTGCTGACGCCAAGAAGGAAGCGAAGGCGCAGCCAAAAGCAAAGGAGCCGGAGCCTGCAGCAGCAGGACCTGGGCCAATGAAACCACTCACGGTCACAGGTCTCGATGATGACGCGGACCTCAAGACAAAGGCACCCGATAACGATGAGGACGATGTCAAACCTGGTACTGCCAACCGCACGGCACGACCAACGACCGCGCGCCGGCGCCCGCCCAAGCTAAAGGAAAACGTCAAGGAGGTGCGAGCAGACATAAAAATCAATTGCCTACACGTAGCTGCATGTAGGTCGGTCGACTAGTGCGCGACGACAAGGCGACGCCGACGGTGGGCATCATGAAGGACGGCGACAACGCTGAGAGCGACGACGAGGGTGGCGAGGGTGACAACAGCATTGGGCGAGGGCGTGAGATAAGTGGCGACAACGACAGTCACGGCAAGCTTGTGCGCAACATCCTGAAGGACCAAACCGCGGACGAAGAGGCGAACCGCAAGGCCAAAGACGACGAAGATGTCAAGGACGTCGACGGTGGCATCCGGCTCGGGAAACGGCGCAAGTCCTTCAAGGAGAAGACCAAGAGCGGAACGTCGACGGTCGCGGAGATGAACGAGCTTCGGCTCGCGATTCAGAAGATCTGTCAGGCGACAAACCCCGTCGGCAAGTGCATCGAGTACGTGTACGAAGACATGGAAGCGATGGCGCGGGAGCTCGAGAGTTGGAAAAAAGAGTACGAGCGCAAGTGCGTCGTGCTTGAGGAAGAGAAGAAGAAGTCGGAGGATGCGCTGCAGCCGCTCAACCTGCAACTCGTCGAGGTGGACGAGCAGATCAAGGAGCAGCTGCACAAGATCAACACGCTCAAGGCTACGATCGCCAAGAACGAAGACAAGGCGCTTAAGCTGCTGCGCATGGTCGTGACGGCCTAACGCCCAAGATAGCGACTGGTCTCGTTAATGTGTGCTATATATTACGATGAAGTCTACTGTTTCGAGTCACGGGACGTGACGAAGAGGGACTTTTCGATGGGCGAGAAGACGTCGCCCCCAGCCTTTATACACGTAATGAGATAGCTCACGTCCTTTGCTTCGAACGCGTCGTCTTGGCGGAACTTGTCGATCTCATCGCCAAACGCCGACGCAAAGCCTTCCATGTACAGCTCGTCAAAGCGTGCCTCGGTGGCTTCGTCCGACAACTCGAGAGCAACCTCTGCACCACCAAGCAAGCTGCGGCTTGCCTTGAGACCATGCGCCATTGAGCTTGACATCTTTGTGAGCTCCTTGACAGAGCCATCCATAGCAAGCAGATCCTTGATAATGGCGTCGTACGTCGGCGCCTCGCCGTCGTTGCTTTGGAGCGTGTGCGCGGCCTCGAGCGCTTGGCTGAGCAAGTCTGCGCATCGCATCGTTTTGTCCGCGGCTTCGGCTGCGTCGAATTCATGCGTGTCCATGTCTTCGTCAACGACCTCCAGGGCCGACGTCTTCTCCAGCGGCTTCTCGCCGAGGGCGGCGATGAGCTTGGCGTACCCAGTCATTATTCACTCGTCTGCGGCTGCCCAAGATTGTTATCCTGCTAGATCCCACTATTTTCCACATACTACCAAATAGTGTTAAGCATAGATCCATCATGACTGTCATTTTAATACTATAATAATATCGTTTGGTGCTGTTTCGAGCACCCCATATTTTTAAGGGCCACCCCCGGGTACCGGTACTTAAATTAACAAATCGTGACACGCGCCGAATATGAAGACGTTGGGGGCCGTCGACCCCGTATAAAAAACGTCGAGCCAGGTGGCATAATTCTTCGTCCTTCGATGTACCTCAACGTCTTCCTCGTCCTTGCCGTGCTGTTCGTGGTCGCGCTCAAGGTCTCGCCGTCCTTCCGCCAGACGACATTCGTATGGTCTACTTACTGCACACTCTGGCTTTGGTATCGCTACCGCCAATTCACAAAGAAGCCACACCAGAAGGACGACCCGGTGGCCCCGACGATGCCTGGTGCCGCCATCGACCCACCATCTTCGACACGTCCTGCGAGCACGTCCGTGCCGAGACGAAAGCCCAGCAGCTGGGCAGACTAGTCGAATAAGAGATATTCGTCAAATGCAGCATGTATTACTATGCACCTTATCGTACTCCTCCCTTTAAGTCCGGCACCTACTTTGCCTTGACGCTGGCAGGTCCCCGACGCACAACTTTGTAGAACGTCTCGAGTTTCTTCTCGCGCAAGCTAGAAGGAGTTGCGGCTTTAGCGAGCTGTACTTGGCGGCGTGTCCGGCCTTGGCTGAAGCGTTGGGAAAATTGAGCCTCGACCCACGATAGCACTGCGTCGTGTCCTTGCTGCACAACATGGAAGCCGGCGCCGAAGAGCGGGTCGACCTTCTTTTCCTTCGTCTCTTTTGTGCGTGTGGGCAGCGCTGTTTTGCGGTAGAAGTAGACCGTGTGGCCTTCGCTCGAGCCTGCCATGGACGTACCGAGGCGACCGATCTCATCGACCTCGAAGCCGTATTGCTCGAGGACCTTGCGCGGTTGATGAAAGCTGATGAAGTAGCGCGCCGATACGCTCTCATTGAAGCATTCGGCAACGTGCGCCATGACTGCGGGCGGGAAGCCAACGTCGAAGCTATAGACGTGCGAGAACGGCTCGAGCGACAGGGCGTCAGTGATGTCGCCTTGCGTAAAGATGACTGGGTTGACTTTCGGATACAGAGCTGACGTCTTGAGCACACCCTGGAGGTTCGACAAGCTGAGCTGCCAGCGCTGATCTTCAAGCTCAATGCCGTACGAGATTGCAACGCCAGGCGTAATCGAGGCGTGGAAGTTGGGCTTTCCGAGGCCGCTGCCAATGTCCAAGAACACCGAGTCGCGGCCGAGCTCGCAGTGCTCCTGCATGTACTCGAGGATCTTGCCCATTGAGTTGCGCGTAATCTCGCCGTAGATAGCACCGCCCGCAGCGTTGCCACCCAGCGCGCCCGTCGTCTTGTGAATTACCTTGTAGACCGATGCGACGTCGTGGTCCACGAACTCGGCTGCAAGCTCCGCCGATCGAGTATCGCTGAGAGGTTTGGCCGGTGCCTTCGTGATCTTGAGTTTCTTCACAGAGGCCACGCGCGTTTCCAGGCGGCGCTTGCGCGCAGGCTTCTCGCTCGTGACGGGCCCGCGCCGGAGGGCAGCGTCTGGAGTCGCAGTCGGCCGCGCCATTGTGGGATTGGATCAAAATTCAAATTTTCCTGCCCCCTGACTGGCCACCCGCAATGAAAAGTCTCCATTTTTATTGGCGTTGCACGGTTTGCTACAACCGGCAAGTTTAAGTTCTTCGCCGTGTTCTTAAAAATTTCCAGCCATTTTCCCTCCAAATTGCAGTTTGCAGCAAATTGCTGCACGAAGTGAAGAGATGCAGGGCTATATTGATTGGTCTCACGAGAAGCCTTGCAGTACTACCAAGGGTGCTCAGTCACTATCCTCGTCGTCCTTGGGCTCGGGCGCGCCAAACATACTCCGGATCATCGATTGCGGGTCCGTTGACCCCATCTCTTCCTGTGCCTTCTTGTACTCTTCCGGGTCCATCATCCCCTCAGAAAGCTTGGGAAGCAACCAGACCATGACGATGGGCACGATGAGCGCCAAGAAGGATGGGTTGCGGACCAAGTCAAGAATGCTGAGCTTCTCACGCGGCTGGTGCAGAGTATGAGGAGTAAGCAATCAATACGAGAATGATTTACCTGGAAATACTGCACCTTGATGTGCGCCTCGACAACAAGGGGGTGACTCACGGGCATCTTCCCGGTGCCTATATGCGGCCTGTGAGCCGATAAAGTCAGCATCTTATTTCGTACCGGGGTACTTGAACTCAAGAACACGGATTTGCTCGTCGGCGCTGATGTCTACCTTGAACTACAATGGACACATGAGGCGCTGGAGCTTTGCCTTGAAGTGAACGCACTTGGCTGAACATGTACACGGGCGAGAAGATATCAATAGTGTAGCGGCCAGGCCCAACATCAAGGAAGGCGAAGCGGCCATCAGCAGTCGAGAGCGTCGAGCGAAGACCGCCGTCGAGGACGACCTTGAACGGGCTAATCGCGTCCACGGCATCCTCGGACGCCATCGCAGGTAAGTAGATGCGGCCTTCAAGGTCCACAGCACTACACCAAGCCTCAGTGAAAGAGAGCTCACATGCACGCATGTACCTGGCAACAGCCATGAGGCCGCAAAAGAGCGCGCATACGAGTGTAAGGAACGTCGACGTCATGCTGGCTTCCACGCGGTCCGTCAAAAATGCAAGGGAAAAGTCACTGGAATACATTGTGGCCGCTGATTGGCCAAAATAATGTAGTAATTGCCGTCCCTTCAGGGTCCATCGGCCCAAGTCCAAGCCATGCAATTGCACAATTGTGCTACCGTAGTACTTGCAGCTGTACTTGCTGTAATAGACGACAACCCTTGATGTACGCCCGAGCTGTGTGTGCTTGGCAAATAAATAACTGCGCAACACCCAGTACACTACACGTGCAGAGCATTTTCCACAGGGGAAAACTTCTGATAGTTACTGCAAAGAGCACGAGTAAGACGAGTGCCCGTGTTGTGTGTATCTATGCGTTCAACCGTTCAAGGTTGGCAAGGACTTTCCCTCACACTTCATGCATGTTAGTACAAGTAGAGATGATCTATAGGGTCTCGTTAGCATCGTGCGTGCTAATGCTGTACAATGGTGCATCTATGGATGCATGCATGGTCGGAGCAACAGCGGAACGTAATCTAAACACTATTTGACGAGCTATAGGTCATATAATTGGTGTGACTCCGTTTTGCTCGAAATGATTGGTGGCGAGCTCGGCAGTCATGCCCAACCGCCTGTCTTCCTCATTATAGAATTAGCAATCGCAGCCACAGTACTTGAAATAGGACTAGGCAATAGATCCCGCGTCATTTTACCAACTGTACCCCGGATACATGAGGACCACAGTTAAAGTTGGGGCGGATAGAAATACCCTTGTGTTTTTCTGTGTAGCTTGTCTGCAGGGCGGCCATTTGCCGCAAGGCGGTGGTCACCAAACACGCTTCAATTGACAGTAGTGGCACCGAAGCTCGACTTGTCTTGCGTTAGGTACATTTCTGTCCTTTGGGGTGGGCGGGCTACTGCCGACTACAGGGCGTGTCAGCACGTTCTGTTGTCGGAAAAGGCTTGAGGGGAAATACAAAAACGAGGTTACGATTAGTACATGGTATGCACTTTTTAACTTTTCATCTGGGATTTTCAATGCCCGAGGTGTTATACGCAGTGCTAAGATTGAGTTTGCCTCTGAAACACTGCGTCTTGACGACGTAAATAGGTCGATCGTCGAAGATGTTGATGCGGCAACATCATGAAACTCGAATTCTATGAATACCTCCCTCTGTTTATGGACACGATTGCGACCACCACATCGACGTTACCAAGTACCAGTGTAATATATATTCAACATATTTTTGCGCAACTGACTGTTGATGGACATTATATATATATATGAACGTGTTCCGCGTTATCTTCATTATGACACAAAAAGACTTCGCATACGTAGCGCTACGCCTGAATGCGCGGGAGTTGGCTCACCACTTGGTCGTTGGGAGTGAGCTGCGTACGGAGAGATCCATCCCGCGGTGGACATTGCTTTTATATTTGCCGCCAAGCGCATCGATACGGGACCCGCATCACAATGCCAAGGATAAAAACTCGACGCTCGCCTGAATTCGAACGCGGCCAGTTGCGCCTTCGAGGGATTTGTGGGTTAACTTGTGGTCTGCGACTTGCAGATTATTCAATTAGTGACTCGAAACTGGTGCTGAACTGCAGGCCAGCAAACAACGGAGACACGTCCAATGGTCTACCTTGTTCTTGCACATCGCGTACGCATTGACACCGGAACCAAACAATAGCCGGCATGTGCTGTTGGACGCGAGAATTCGATCACACTCAAAATGATGCATGAAATGGACAACCTGTTTATCACAATAGGGTTAAACGCCCGAATCCCAAATTCACATCAAAATCATGAAAGAGATATGCTTGATCTACATTGCCGCCGCCCACTTATTGTATTCGCCCCGCCCAAGGCACCCCGTTTTTAGGGTGTACCAAGCTGACGTTGCCGATCGTCCTGCAAGTTGCAGCAGGACAATCGCTGACGCCGCCTCAGTCACTAGCGTCTCTCGATGATCTGACCTCAAGAAATTGTGTAGGTTTGCCGCCGACGGCGAAGCCTGGAAGGCCTTTGCGAATTGTGTCATCTTGGGCCTCACTCGCGGCCACGAGCACCCCACGAGCCCCCGCGCCGCCGCCTGCGCAGCCACGGCCCGGCGAGCAAATAAAGAAGAAGATTGCTAGTACAGTATGTACGTATTCGATCGAAGTTATTGTGATAAAGATAACGCGAAACACGTTCATATACGGTAGATGCCTGCCTGGTCCATGTAAGTATCATCTTACCACCACTTGGTAAGGCCCTTGGCTTTCCAGAACGCTTGAAACTGCGGGAACGTAAGGCGCGGCACCTTCTTGGTATATTCACGGAAGATCTCTTCGAGCACTTGCGGCGGTACATCGCGCGATCCGTCATGAAGCTCGTTAATGTCTTCCAGCAGCACGCGCATCTATGAACCCTCAGACGAATTGATTGAATATCGTGTATGACCCCACCTCGTGCTGCTCCAAGAAGCCATTGGCGTTGGTGTTGTACCCATTCCAGAGTCTCTAGTCGCAACAAGACACGTTCGTTGATAACTTTAGGCAACGCGACGTACTTTGACGTCATCGTACAGAATTTCCTTGACACGCAGCGTCTCGAGGAGCTCGAATCGGTCCGGCTTTTGCGCATCGATAGCCTTCGTCACATACTCCTCGCTTTGCATCTAGCGTAGCAGTTAACAAACTGCACACCACAACCTGCAGATACCTCGAGGAGACGGGAGACTGTTCTATCGAACGCAAATGCTTCGTCAAGCACGGATTTGCTTTCTGGGTTTTGCACCAAGAGATGCATCGGAAGCGCGTCCGCGAGACAGTAGAGCTGGACTTTCTTCTCATACATGCAGTCGACAAATGTGATGAAACGACGTGTCTATCCATTTCCTAAGCGAGTGGGCGATCCGCGTCAACATACCGTGTTGCGGTTGCTAATATCGAGGAGCGGAATATCCTGGACAAACACAGTGTCGAAAGCCTACACGACATTTGAGTTGTGATGTTGATAAGAAGAAACAGTACCTCGCCAAGGGCGAGATAGTCGGCAGCGCCAAGCGGCTTGTCACAGAGCTCGGAGAACGTAACTTGGCAAACTTTTTCGCGAATCGCCGCGTGTTCCACGTTCACGGTACGACCCTGCGTGTGCAGCTTCACGGGCTCGATTGCGTCGCCCTACGTCTACCATGTGGCTACTTTAACGTATTGATCGATACCTTGGTGAAGAGCTTAAAGTGCTCGTAGAACAGTCGCCGGTTGGCTTCCGTGAGAGGCTGTCGATATACGTGTTCAACTTCATCTTCGCCCTTGAGCTTGCGATAGTCCGTTGAGGACTCGTCAAGTGAGTGCACGACAGAAGTTTCCTGAAGCAGCGCTATGAACGGCAAAAACAAGTCGCGCTGGAGACCGTTCTTATACAAATCCTAGCAAGATATGTGAGACAATGTAAATACAAAAATACAGCCATATACTGTCGGTGGGCGGTTGGATGTAGCAACGACGATGCTACCGGCCTCGATCATGGCCGAAAAGAGGCGGCGCAAAATAAGCGCATCAGCGACGTCCGTGACTTGAAACTCGTCAAAGCAAATGACGCGGCTCGTCGCGACAAGCTCCTTCGTGATGTGCGGGATTGGATCCTCGTGCAAGCCTAGATATGTTGGTCTATTGATTCTCTCAAGGTAAACGCGTTACCTGCTTTGCGCAGCGTGTGCATCTTCTCGTGAACTTCGAGCATAAACTTGTGGAAGTGCACACGGCGCTTGCTTTCGATTGGCAAGTTGTCGTAGAACATGTCCATAAGAAACGTCTACATCTCGTTAGAAACGTGATCAATGCAAAAAGCAAACCTTGCCACAGCCCACGCCGCCGTGCATGTAGACGCCCTTGGGGCTCGCCTTCTTTTCAGGCACGCGCGCTTCCTTTGCACCAAACCAGGCCGAAAACATGGATGTCGGCTCTTCGATCGCAATTGCAGCGGGCGTCGAGAGGTCCATGTCGAGCACTTCATCCTGGAGGCGCTGGAGGTGCACGAGTGCCTTGACCTGTACGGCGTCAGCGCGAATCTCTTGCTTCGTCACTGCCTCCTGATAGATGTCAAGGAGCGGTCGCGCCGACGAGGCGAAAGTGCGGTGCAGCAAGAGCGGGTGGAGGCGGCGGAGGCTCAGCATCTCAGTCACGCAGTCGTTCGACGCCAAGCGGAAATGACAGACTGACTCTGTCACCCGCGCCAGCCTCTGCTGATTGGTTCATAAGGACTTTCCTCAGGCTTGACCAATCACAGGCCTTTGTGAGTCGATCTGCACAATTGCGAGCCGACGAGTGTGTTTTCTTTGCAAGACAAGACTTCGTACCGCTGAGAAGCGACGGCGACGAGTGCGTGCAATTTAGGTATTAGTCGTTTCCGATCTTTATATCGCGGCGCATGGCTTACATTCATCACCCGCCTCATGCTCCGATTCGTCTACTTCAAATAGTTCGTAGTACGTCATTTTCTTCGTGCACGTCATTTTCGACCCCCTCCTCTGGCGAAGTATCGAACTACCTACCAGGTACTGTAGTTGCGGCCTTGCACACGCAGAATCACTTCAATCAGTTCATTCATTGCTCAATCAAATTCGACATCCGATCGGGTCGGATTCCTGGACTAACAAGACAAGTAACACCGGCGCAGCCAATTAAGCAACTACCTTGAGAAGAGTCTGTGAGATCGTGCCACACACACATGATGTGTGTGGCACCCTTTTGTACAGACAAGGTGCCGAGGCGAGATAAAAAGGCAATACATACACAGTCGGGAAATGCCAAGCACACCAGAAACATACTGCCGCAAGACTGGCATTGCTTCCATGTAAGATGGCACAAAAACAGGACATGACATGAACGGCTTGGAGCGATTTACGGCGTTCGAAGATCTCCAGAGGGATCTCCAGTGGTCAGGGTGTCGAGAGCAAGGGAATAACCAAATCTCTTGGTCGAGAGGTACCGGTACTGGTCCGTACCATGGGTCATATTCGTCAGCTTTACACCGCATAAGGTGCATGGCATTAGCGGCACCTCGACGACGACGAGTCTTTTGACGTCGTTCAAGGAGACTCGCTCACGCGGTACCCATGTCCGTACCCCTCTAACTTTTGACAACTAAGGCCATACATAAACTTATGGCTTTGCTTTGACTTGACCTTGAATTTTGACACGCTTTTCTCGCCCAGCAGAATCCGGAAAGAGTACCCAGATATCCGTACTGCAAAAACGACCCGGACGCCATCATGCTCGACACGACCGTGCTTCGCGATGGCCCGGGTTTGCGCGCTTCCATCCTCGGCCTGGTCGTCTTGACAAGTATCATCGCCCTTTGCCTCGCCTACCTCGTGACGCGAAGGATGCAGCGCCTGCGGAACTGCCCAAGCACAAAAGTTCAGTGGTGCCACAAGGACCTGCAAGCCAAAGCGTTTCTTCGCAAGAAGGGTCTCGAGCTGTGAGCAGCTTGATAAAGCGCGATCATCAAATATCATGAATTCCATCTGTCATCATCCACTTCGCGGCTATCAGGAAGGGCGTCATTTAGAACGCGGGGTCGATCTTGCCCTTTTCCAGGAAGAAGATGGCTTCTTCCGGGATGCTGAACTCCTCCACGAGCCAGATCGGGAGGTCGTGCTGCACGTCACCCTGCAGCTGGACCTGACTCTTGCCGCTGTCAAGCTTGACGACGGTAGCCGAGCAAGCAAACTTCTTGCCCATGCGCTTTGAGATGTCCTTGAGGTTCAGGTCGTATTCGTCGAGGCCCGCGATGACCGTGACAAACTTCTTCTTCTGACGCTGGAAACGCTCGACAAATACCTTGCCACCCCGCTTGCCTTCTTCGGCAGCCTTTTGCTTCTTCTTCTTGACGCCTAGTACACACATTGTGTCGTGAGTAAGTGACAAAGAGTATGAGTGCAATTGGGTACGTACTCTTGCTGCCTTCGGCCTCCAAAGTGATGCCTTCAACGCCAGCAGCGATTTGAGCCTCAACTTCAACAAGCTCGGAGATCGTGCGGCTGTACTTTTGGATGAAGAGGTTTGGGCAGTGTTCCACGAGCCACGGCTTGCACTCGTTGAACATCGGGCCGTATTCGCAGTAGTCCGGCGGGAGGTTGTCGATGGGGCAGTAAACAATTACCTTGGACAGCGGACTCCCCTCGGGCGTAGTGACGTCCTCTTCGTCGTCGTCCTCGTCGTCCTCGTCATCATCGTCGTATTCCTCTTGCTCGTCGCCGGGCTCGGGGCCGTACTTGCGCACAAGGGCTTCAAAGAGCTGGCGCTCTTTGCCCGCATACTTGGCGAGGACGGTTGGAACTTCGCCGATCTTCTCCGGGTTGTACTTCTCGTAGAATGCCTGGAGGCGCAACGTCATGGCATCGACGAACGTGATCTCTTCGTTCGCCGCTGGCTCGGGGCCGTACTTGCGCACAAGGGCCTCAAACAAGCTAGCCTCCCGACCCTTGTAGCGCTCCAGGGCGGCTTCGATCTCCGAGATCTTGTCCGGGTTGTACTTGGCGTAGAAGCGCTCGAGGCGTTGGCGGGTTCCGCTCATGCTGCGTCTTGCGGTCAAAATTACCAACCAGCCACTGTGGGGATCGGAACCGGTTAGTACATGGAACCGGTTCGTTTGAAGCACCTGGCAACCGGGTATCAAGCGTTTGGGGCCGATTGCCATTTTATTCGTCTTTGCATTGGACTACTTGCTAAATGTATTTATAATAAAACCCTGGAATAAAAATATGCGGTCGATCTTTCATTCTCGTTGGGTGCTTGGCAACGCAAGATGGAACCAGACGCCGACTTTGACCGGGCGCTCGATGTAGCTCTCGGCTTTGCGCCCCAAGCGACCGCCGACGACCGTGCTCGTGCGATAGCGTTTCTCGCGCCCTACAAGACGCAGCTCGTAGCGCTGCAGCTGCTCCAGACCTCGTAGGTGCGGTTCTCATGAACCATGCGGCCAACGCACTTTTAGGACCGACGAGAAGCGTCTGTGGTTTGCAGTCGCAACGCTAGAAGGTCTCGTGCGATCGCCAGTCGAGCTCGATTTGCAACAGCTCATAAGCTTCATTTGGACAGCAGTGCTCGAGCCAGCACCCGGGATGCCGTCTTACGTCGTCTCGAAGCTGCGCGTCGTGCTTGTCTACGTGGTCTTGCGCCAAGACGCGATGATCCAATTTCTCAGCCAGCTTCACGAAACGATTGCGGCTCCAACGTCTTCAACATACCACCACGCTGGCCTCGAACTTCTCGCCGTTGTGTGCGAAGAAATATGCGTCTCGCACGATGACGCGCGAGGGCTCTTTCCGACGCTCACCAAGGATCGAGCTCGGCAGCGCGCGCAATTCCAGACGCAGCTCGATGCTCTTGTCATTTTGACGACAAATGTGCTGTCGGATGTCGCGTCCAAGCTGCAGGCACCGTTGCCCCACGCCCCCGCTTTCCACGACGCGGTGGCCACCACCGCGCTGCGCATCCTGGGACAACTCTACACGCTGGACTTGCCGCAATATGCAACACCGGCCATTCTTCAAAACACGATCGATTTGCTCTTCGCGCTAGCGGCGAACCGCGCCACGGTCGCAGACAGCGCTCGCTTCGCCATGGATGCGTCGTCCCAAGCCGCTTGTGACACGCTTGTGGTATTTGCCACCAAGAAATGGGCGCACCAAGTCACGGACGTGGTCATCGAGCGTGTCCTTTGCGGGCTTCTCTCGCTCCTCGAAAGCTGTGACGCATCTGCAATGGCAGCCATGGCGGAACCGTACCTCGACAAAGTCTCGGGCCTCACGGAGGCATTTCTCACGAAACACCTGCGCCGGCTCGAATCCCCCACGCTTACTTCGGGACTCACAGACCTTCTCGCTGCCGTGTTGCGTCTCACGCAGCATCAGCCGCACGTTTCAGGCCTCTTTCACTGCCTCACAGTCTGGGAGATCTTTGTCTCTCACGTCGAGGAGGCCGAAGTCCATGGAGCGCTGCAGCCTGCGCTACTACGATCATACGAAGCCGGTCTCGTCGGTGTCATGATGCACCTGGTGGACCGAATGCTCTACTCAACGAATGAGGCACAACTCGAAGAGCTTGATGATGAGCCACAACCAGCGCCCGAGGCTTTGCCGGTCGCCATTGGCGTCGAGCTTGGAGGTGAAAGCGACAACCTGCTCAATGCAATCCGCACCGGTGCTCTCCAGGACCAGGCGCAAGAGTCCGCAGAGATGTCGGATCTCAAGGCTTTTGTGTTTGAGTGCTTCTCGCTCGTTCGCCGGATTGCCCAGGTATCCCATCGCCTTGCGTTTTTTCTTCAACCCTCTTGGATATAGTTGCCGTTTTGTGCGCCGCCGCTGCTCGAAAAGATGCTCCCGATCGTGCAAGCGCAATTAGCACAATTTCTGGAGATCCATGCTGCGCCAATTCCATCGGGTGATGCTAAGCAAGCTCAAACGATTGCGGTGCGACGCAACTTGACGAATGCAAAACCTACAGTGCATTACTGTAGGTCCGCGATTTGACTGTGTCATGTGCGCTTCTATCGTGCGTCGCGGCACAACACTACAGCGCAAGCAACGCCATGTCGGACAAGATGGCCGGCTGGTCGATCTTGCGCCTCTTCTTGCAGCTCGCCGAGTACATTGTGGGACACCGGCTGCATACGCGCGGTCCAGCCTTTGTCGAGCTCGAGGTAATAGCATGGTCAAGGGCTGTCGCTCACATTTCATTTCTAGTGTGAAGCCCTTGCGTGCGTTCGGCTCTGTATGGGCTGCGTCCCATTCGTGCTCCAGTCAGGTGCGACGAACGACGTTCTCAGCGTCATGGAGTCGGTCGTTCAGATCATTCTTCAAACGCTCGATACTTCGATTGTTCCGTCTCCGTCAGCAGTCATGCAAGCGGCTCTGCATCTGCTCGCAAGCGTCGGTGCTGTCGTTCCTCACGGCCTCCACGCGTCGATCTCAGCCATGGCGACTTTGCGCTCGACGCTTCCTCGCTTCAGCTTACACCTACCGCCTCTCATCCAAGCCAACTTGTACACGGCGGTTTCCAACGCTATTCTGCAGCCATCGGCGACCGAGGTCGAGTGGGTGTCGGCATACGAAGCGATCGTTACTCCTGTCGTCACTTCGTTTGTCGAGTCGACGGTTGCGCTCCAGCAAAACGACCAGCGTGTCGGGAGCACATCGCTCTTGACGCAACTGACGCGAGATGTGTCAATCTGCCGAGC